TTTTTTTCCCCTTCTTCTTTTTTTTTTTTTTTTTTTTTTTACCTCTTTTCGGGGATGCTACACATAGCACAGCTTTTGATCTTGTACCATGCAACATGCCTTTGGTACTATGTCGAAGCATCCTCTCTCTGGTGCTCATCTTCACCCGAATAGAATGCCCGGTCATTATAGCTGTAATTGGGGCAACTTTCCGTCTAGATACAGAGATAATTACCGGCCGTTCTATTCGGGTGAAGACGGTACTGCCAGGATCCTCTCTGGTACTATTTGGCCACATCCTCTCTGGTACTATGTGGCCAGATCCTCTCCAGTACTATGTGGCAGAGTAGTGCGAGGATCTGGGTCCTCGGCAGGCCTAAGGGGCCCCTGTTGCAGATGTGCCCGCCCTAAGTGAAGGCGAGCCTAACAAATCATGAGAGACCCTCGGCTGTCAATTTCGTATTTGGGGTCCAGGCAGTTGTGACGCGCCAGTTAGTTGAGGGAAACACAGGCCAAGCAGCAAAGACATTCCACGGCCTTCCAGGCCTTTCCGAAAATGCAGGCCCTGGGCAAGAATCGCAGCCTCATACACATACAGTTGGGAGGCCCGACCGAACGAGGCCCAGGAGCTGCATGGGAGGCACGGCCTCCTGGGGTCTACCGGAAGCTTCTGGGCAGAGGCCCAGGCCAGTCAGGCCACCGTGGGAGGCAGGCTCTTTCCATATAGGAAAGAGCTCACTGGCTGGGGAGGCATTCGGGCACTTGCATGCTAGCGGCAGCGCTGCTGGAGCGGATGCTCGTGGGCTGCTGCTTGCGCTAAGGGCAAGGTGCTGCGCGCGTGCGGTTGTGCGGGAAGCAGGGCGCTGCTGAGGGCAGCGCCATAGCCCAGCCCCCATAGCTGGATGGGCTTGGACTACAGTGAGGCGCAGGGGTCGTCTTCGGGTGTACAAAGGGAAGACGTGGGTGTAAGTCAGGGGAGAGAGAGAAGGATGATGATGATGATGATGTGAGGGCACATACCTGGTATTGGCGATGGTCTGCATCGGGCGACATCTTCAAGTACGTCGTTGGCCGCTGACGTCAACAGTTGCATTGTCAATTAGTAGGCAGACAGTAGCTGTGTAGAAAGTAGGCTTGGCGCCGAGCGCCAAGTAGGGAGAAGGGACTGGACTCTTATGTTGGTGGTGGCGAGAGCAAGCTCTCATTGACATTGGCTTTCAGTGTTATGAATCTCCATCGGTGTTATATTGGTGCAATGCTGCTTTCTGGACACTGAGATACTATCTGGCATTCAATGTGATTGTGTATTCTGGATATTGTCATCTCGCTGTTGCTCTTTTCCTTGCAATTTGGTATCGAAGCCGGTTCGAACTGCGCTTCGTTGGTTCTTCGCAATAGCTGTTTGGTGCGTCGCATGAGGTATGGGGCAGTAATAAGGCTCGGGCATTGAACTATTGGCGGCCCAGGGTCGTGTGGCCGGGCCAGGAAGGTATGTGGTGACATTAGGGGTGTATGCTGGATGATGAGAACTCGCTGATGTGGCATTTAAGTTGAGGTGGAACTGCATTCTGCTGTTGGTTGTGCGGAGGCAAAGACCGGTCATCATAAATGCACGGCAGGTTGCCGGTGAGAAATCTGTGGTTGGGGGCAGCGTTATGAGGTGCGTTGCTCTCTTCCTTATCTACCCTCTTCATTACTTCTTATCGTGAGGAAGTGAGTTCTGTCTTGAGAGTCCTCTTAATGTGAGGTGTAGCGAGCGCTCAACCTTGAGAGTCGACATTCTTCCTGGGCAGCAAGCTGGTGGGAGACGGGCGAAGCCTCTGAAGGGCCCTGGACGAAGCACTCGGGTCACGGTCACCATGCCAACCCGTTGGGACTAGTACACGCATGCTTTGCGGCAAGTCCTTGGTTCCGCGGCGCTGTTGTGCAATAGAGGTCATGCAGGGCATGCCAGCCCTTTGAGAGACGCTCACCAGACCGTCTATAAATATTTCTGGCGGGATTCGGTGTTGAACCCTGGCTGTGATCATCGTCCTGTCTGCGACGTTAAATAATTCTAGAGGACCTTGGGGGCTGTCCTTAAACTGCCTCTTGAGCAGCCAAATCAAACCGGACCGGATGTAAGGCTCGTTGCATGCGAGGGTAAATAACGTGCAGGGGCTGGCAGGTTCGGCATAGACTTGGGGCACAGGGGTGGGCCGGATTGCACGCCTTCAGACACACCGCTCAACCAGATGCTCAGGGCGTTGACACAAAGTGACTACTCCAGAAGGATACAGGGAGAGGGGGGATTCTGGTAACTCTTCGATGTGGCATGAATTAGACAAACTGCCATCCAGCATACATCTCCACCGGTAAACTGTTTTGTTTTTGATTATTTAGTTGTACGGACTTGTTGACAACTGACAGATAGCTGCAGATAGGATAGTGTCTTCCTTGCTTCATTGCAATCCGAATTTAGAATAATCTAAAAATAGAACTAGTGTTACCTGTAGGATCTGACATTCGTTGTTATTGACCACTTAACTGTTTCTCTCCAGGCTGACCGAAAATAGTTGTTAATGATACTCGGTTGGGTGTCAAGCTGAGGTAGGATTCAATGTGGACTGTAGTTTAGATCACACACATTGTAGCTCATGAATGATGCAGGAGTAGTGAGGAGGAGGAGAGACTAGTAGAACCCCTTAGAGTTACTCGTAGAGTTGCACTCAGTCGATCGATTACCTGCTTGGGATTAGGCCAAGGAGAGGAAAGGAGGGTGCGAAGGGATACCAGGGAAAGGACGACATTAGAGAGGGCTAGGACAGCAGCAGCCAACGCTAACGGACACTTGCAGCAGCAAGACTAGCGGAAGCTAAGGTCCAGGTTGAGGCTGCGATGGCTACCTCCTCCACAGTGTCACAG